TAGCTGCTGAAGCCCTGCCCTTCCAAAATCACCTTGTATTAATTTTGTATACGGACTCTATAATTCAGAGGACCACAGAATTATTTTTTATGTACGTCTTCCCCACTAAAATATAAGCTCTTTAAAGGAAACAAGTATTATTTCATTTTTATCTCTGTATCTCCAGCACAATGCGTGGCACACAACAGATTTTTAATAAATGGCTACTGTATGATTAAATAGAAAAGAAAGTAGGCCAACTATGTAGCAGGAATGAGCAATAAGAGATGGACCGCTTAGAAGCTGTACTGATACCTACACAATCTTAAAATAAACACAGGGAGGGCTCAAGACATTGAACAAATTCTCCACATAAAAATTTGAACAAAAATTTTCCAAGAAGGCCTGGATGGCAATCTACTAAGGTATGGATGGAAAGCTTTGCAAACTACAACAGGGAAAGGACTACCTATACCGATGAAATTAAAAATCCATTAAAGTTATCAAAGAAAGGAGCAGAGATTTTTAAATGCATCAGAGACCAGAGTTCTAGGGGGCTCAATAGGTAGAGCACTGGACCAGGAGTCAGGATGACCTGAGTGCAAATTCAGCCTCAGATATTCATTTACTGTGTGACCTTGAGCAAGTCATGTAACCTCTGTCTGCCCTGCTTAACTACAAAGTGGAAACAATGACAGTGCTGCAGTGTCTTTATATCCCTAGCACCTAGCACATGCCTGTATCCTAGGCTGGAGGTGCTGAATGAATAAGGGATGAACTGGTAGCTTTCATGGCCTGCTTTAGCCTCTGGAATCCCCCTTGAGGTACCATCTAGGTTAAGATCTCCTCAAGTGTTCTGAAAAACAAAGGAAAAAAAAATTCCCAGGACCACAGTGAGGACTGAATGAGATAATAACTGTAAAGTGCTTTGCTAAGCCTGAAATGCTTTATAAGTGTTAGCTATTAAGTTTAGTTTAGTTTAGCACTAAGTATTTAGGTTAGCACAGTGCCTGGCACATAGGAGTAATAAATATTTATTGACAGATTATTTCATACAAACCTGCCTATAAGGATTAAAAGGCTTTCCAAAAGGAGCGTTTCAGCTCCACCTAAAGGGCAACCATCTGATTATGCACATTTTTCTATGTTCCCAATCACTCAGATTAGTATAGTTATTTTCTACCTCCAATCCTACTGAAGCTTGAAATTTCTTTTTATTCAGAGTACAGAGGAGTGACTCACTCTCCTCTAACGGAGCACAGGGTAAGGATCTGAATAGCACTGAATACGAGAAACTCAGATGAAGAGATTGTGGTATCCTTCAGGCATTATGGAGTAGACTGACCCTTGATCACATAAGCACACGTTGGGTATACTGTTGAGGGGCCTCCAAGGTAGGGATGGACTGGTAACCTCTAAGCTTTATTTCAGTTCTGAGTTTTTGTGATTCTGTGATTTATACCTTGCCCCTTCTTCCTGAAAAGCCATTATTTTTTAATATTCCAAAGTGGCTGGGTCACTTCCCATCTTCTCACATTTCCAAGGAAGCTCAATAATGCAGGGATGGGTTGTGGGGTTCATTTTTTTTTGGGTTTTTTTTCCTTTGTTTTTCAGAACAGTTGAGGAGATCTTAACCTAGGTGGTATCTGTATCTCAAGGGTAAAAGCTAAAGCAGGCCATGAAAGATACCAGTTCATCCTTTATTCATGCAGTGCCTCCAACCTAGGATACAGGCATGTGCTAGGTGCTAGGGATGTAAAGACAAAAATGAAACAGTCCTTGCCCTCGAGGAATTTCCAGCCTATTAGGGAATACAACATATTCATATATGTGTACATAAATACAAGTAAAATATAAATGCAAGTCATTTTAAGGGGCACTAGAGGGTAAATATTAATTTTATAACAAAATACAGGCAAATTTCTGCTTTAACACTACTGCAATGAAAACAAAAAAATAATAGTGATGATTATAATAGTAATATAATAATAATAATAATAATAATAATAATAATAATAATAATAATAACAACTAACCTTTATATAGTACTTACTATGTGCCAGGCACTATGCTAAGTGCTTTACAATTATTATCTCATTTGTAACTCACAATAACCTTGGAGTTAGGTACTATCATAACTACCATTTCATAGATTTAAAAAATGAGGTGAACAGACATTAATGACTTGCTCAGGGTCACACAATTAGTAAGTATCAGGGGCCAAATTTGATTCCAGGCCCAGCATTTTATCTACTACATCACCTTGCTGCTCAGGAATTAATGTTTGTCCAACTCTTTATGGCCCCGTGGACCATACTGTCCGTATGGGGTTTTCTGAGCCAAGATATTGGAGTGGTTTGCCATTTCTTTTTCTGTGCTACCTAACTGCCTCTAATTTCCATAAAATTTATGAGTTACTGAATTTAATAAGCATTTATGCAGCCCATTCTAAGTAAAAGGTACTGTGTCACCCACTGAGGGTACAAAGCTAGACATGACATAGAATCTACTCTCAATGATGTTACATTCAAACTGAGGAAAAATATACTGTTTACTAATAAGAATGATAGAAAGAAGAGCAGGGACAAATGCAAAGGTGACACGTCCAAGTAAAATCCTATGAGAAATTTCAGGAAAGAGAGTTCACTTTAACTTAGGGGTGGAGGGGATGAATTTTGGGAAATCTTCATGGGGAAAGTTCCTATTTGGATAATGAAGAAAAGATAGTAACCATTGGGGAGGGGAAACCTCATTTAGGACAATATGAACAAAGGCATAAAGACAAAAAATGTAGTAGTATGTAGTAGTCCAGTTTGTCTGGAATAAAGTTGACTAGAGCTAGAGAGCGACAGGTCTTAAATTCTAGGACCAGAAGCTTCTGCTTTATTTGCTGTACAAATGAGAACTACTAATGCTTTCTGATTTAGGGAATGGCAGGATAACATTAGCATTGCAACAAGGAGTTTACTTGGGGCAGTGGCGTGATGGACGATGATGAGAAAGGACATCGGAATATCAGTTATGAGGCTTTTATAATAATCTAAGTCAGAAAAGATGGCGACTTGAACCTGAGTGGTCTGCACTGGGATATGAGGAGAGGAGATGGATTTGAGAGATATTAAGAAGACAGAATCACTGAGATTTGGCAAATGATTGAATATGTAGAATCAGGGAAAGGGAAGATACAAAGATAACAAGTCTAGAAAAATGAAATATGCCATGACACTCTTCAGTTCAATGAAGAGATATAAAGAGGTTAGGAGGAACAACCATTCTAGGAAATTAAGAGATTAGTCTCCTTTTGGACATGTCCAGTTTTCACTACTGGTAAGACAGCTATGTGAAGAGAGTTAATAAGTGGCTGGGAAATAAGGGATGGAAACTTTGGGAATAATTAATGGATGAGTTATATGCAATAATGACTAGGGTCAAGAGGAGTTGGTATGATAGTCATGGCAATAAACTCTAAAGGAGACATCACTAAATGGTGGCAAGAGCACAAGGGTCTCAAAGTGTCCTCGGTGAGTCAGCCACATATGCTATAGGTTCTAGACATCAAACAAGCAAAAAAATTTTCCAGGCTCTAGTAAATAATCGTCTTATCATTAGCAATTCTCAAGGTAACAAAATTCTAGTACAGTTAAAGAATATGGAGTACCCTGGGAGTTTGCTTTAATGTAACAGAATCTGACATTTATATGTAATGGACTGCAGTTTAATATTTCAACTCAAGCAAACCCTGAGCAAGAGAAATGATATTATCTGCTGAGGACTCCAGTAACATTCATTAAGAACACTGAACCCATGCACACACCAAGGAACGTCTCCACGTTCCTGTTCTCTATCTCATGTTAACTCACCTATCTGTAATACGATAATATTATCTGCTTTACATTACAGTAAAAGCTTGATTAACCCAAACCCAATAAACCAGAACAATCACTTAGCTTGTTTTTTTTCTTTTCTTCTCTCTCTGTCTCTCTCACACACACAAAGCACACATGCACACACACACACTCTGTCTCTCACTTATAAGAGAAAAATTCAAATTGAAAGAAAATAAGCTGATGACAGAGAATTATTCACAAATCAAATTGCACAATATGTCTCAGGCTCAGTACATATTCAGCCCAGTCTCCTATACCTCAATCTCTGTCTATAGTCCTATACAAAAATCACTGATGTCTGGAATGATAATCCTTAGGCACAACTACTTCCTCACTCATCAAAGTCAATTTTGATTACATCTACTTACTTAACCAGAACTCATTATGACAGAAAAGATAACCATTACATTTCTGAAATATTTTCAACAATGAGGGTGGTGACATAAAAGTTTATCTGGCTAATTCTCAGTTTGGCAGGATATTAAAATAGCAAGACTACTGTCTCTGACTTGATCTTTCTTAGTAAATTGTGTTTATTCTGAATTATTGCATAATGACAGCTATCAAAGGGTAGTTACACTTACAAAAATAGCATTGAGAAGTAGAATAGGGTGTACACACACACACACACACACACACACACACATACACACACACACACACACACACACACACACACACACACACACACACACACACTCTTCGAGCCATCCAGATTCAGTGGAAAGGACAGTCCTGATTAGAGAATCTGGTTCAGAAAAGAGAGACCAGACAATCTTGCCTGTAGGCTCTAAGGTGAAGTCTCACTTCTGATTAAAAGAGCTAATGAAGTGGGCAGTAGGTTTTCTAAACTTTGGCTGTTATTAACCAAGGTGATTCAGATACTACCACTGAGCTTTAAATTAAAAAGACTGATCTCCATTCCATTAGTTCACTTGACTTTGTCTACTGAAATTAAGACCAACTTAAAAGACAAGAAAGAAGATAGGTCTCCTTTTCCAAACACTGCCTCAGGAGAAAGAACATGGTGATAACCAGACAATTAATAGAAATAAATCTAAATAACAAGTGTCGGGTGGATGGATTTCACTGTTCTACTGCTTACCAAATGGGGACAGAAAGATGTTGCCTTACCCGTTTTGATATTTATTACAAAGAAGTTCTGAGGATTCCCACTCGTAATCCTGTAGGTTAGCTTTTCATTAGAACTGGAATCCGGATCTTCAGCCTGGATCTGAATGACAGATACATCCTTAGGAGAGTTTTCCATGACCACAGGATAGTAAATGGGCTCTGAGGTCAAAGGAGCATTGTCATTTACATCTTCAATCTCAATGTAGACCTCGATGGTAGAATAGAGAGGGACAACGCCTCGATCAGTGGCATAGACGGTCAGCCAGTATGACCCAGTGGTTTCTCGATCAAGAATGTCAGCGGTATAGATGACCCCTGTAAGAAAACACAGCAAGAGCAATGTCACATGTTACTACAGATCATTCAAAGCAATTATTTTAATTATAGTACCTTGAATTCAAGTTTACCTCATTTTAAGAAAAACTGGCATCTAGAAGCTAGGTAGCCCAGTGGATAAAAGCACTGATCCTGGAGTCAGGAAGACCTCAGTTCAAATTTGGCCTTAGACACTTCTTAGTTGTGGGACCTCTGACCAAGTCACTTAATCTCTGTTTGCCTCAGTTTCCTACTCTATAAAATGGGGAAAATAATAGCACCTACCTCCCAGAGTTGTGAGAATCAAACGAGATATTAAATGTAAAGCACATAGTATCTAAGCGCTATATAAATGTTAGTAATTATCATTTAGGGATATAAGGGGCCTTAGGGATCACCTAAATTAATAAATGTTTACCTAGCTGAGTAGAATTGAGTTGCACCCAATCCCTTTACTCTATAGTTAGGAAACGAAAGTGCAGAGAAAGAACATGATTTGCCCTACAACTTATATCAAGCTAATGACAGAGGTGACACTTATGATTATCTGTGACTATTCCAATGTTCTTTGTTGCTGTTTTTTAATCAAGCCCCACAACTTTTTTTTTGTAATTACGAAGGTTCCTTTAAATAGTGGCTCCTCTAGTAATCATAAAACAAAATAACACTTAGTAAAGTTCAATTCTGAAATACAGTTCACCTGTATAAAACATATCTCTGCCATATACTACCCTCTTTCCATCTTTGTTCCAATTACTGAGGCTTACCTCCTAGTCATTCTCACAACCTCCTCAATCAGGCTAAGGACTTCACTATCAAGGGAGAATGCTGCATTTTCACTCAGAGGGCCTAAGTTGGACTATTGACTTTGCCACTTACAACCCAGGTGACAGTAATCAAAGAACAACCTTTCCTGGCCATCGTTTCCTCATAGGACAAACAAGGACACTGGATCCGCTGACTACCAAGGCCCTTTGGAGCTCTAAGCTATGATCCTCTGCTGTTCTCAGGGCTGAATTCAATATCCATATTGAAAACAACTTTGTCTGGAAGATCTTTGTTCTCGCTCTGTCTCAAAACTTACTGTGTGACCACTGGAAAGCAACATACCCCATTCTGTCTTGGCAGTGGTGGTGACAGAGAAAGGATTTCCCCCTAGAACTGATCTAAAATCTAATGGGTCGCCACTGAGCTGGGATCTGCTTTAAGAGAAACTCATTGACTAGGCACAATTTTAACAACTATAAGAAAATTGTCACCATTGACAAGTTTCAACCAGAAAATAGATATCAGAAGAAAAAAAAAAGTTTAGAGGAAACATTTTGTACTTAGATGCCCCAATAACTCTTACCCAAAACATTAAAAGGGCAAAAAGTTGCCTGGGTTCCACAAATATATATCTAAAATTGAACAATTCTCAGGTTCCCGCCTCAGGGGTTTTAATTTATTCTGTTGGCTGTGTGATGAGCTGGACTGACAGAGTCCAGAAGGTTTTAAAGTACTGCAATGTGAAAGAAGAAAGAGCTTGTCTTCCAAAATGGTTACTGGACTCTTTGTGGGTTTTTTTTTTCCCCTCCTGGGGAGTTTGACTGAATTAGGCCGATAAGTCTGCCTGTTGATTATGGATACACAAGATGCCAACTATAGTAACTATGTGAGGAAAAGGGCACTTCTCCAAAAACAATTAAGCTGATAAATCTTTCCCCTTTGGTATCCTCAGAGGTACTTAGAATTCTGAACAGCTAAACTATTCAAGGGGTTGTAACCCAATTAGATTGAAAATTTAAGCTCCAAAGTTGAGGTGGGGAGGGAGTTAATGAGAAATCTAAGCAGAAGCCAGCCTGTATTTAAAGAGACATAAAGCCATTGTTCTTGCTACTGAAATACAACTGACCAAAGGAAAAACTAAATAGGGATATGCTATGGGACACAAGAGAATACTGTTTTATTGTTGTTGGAAATAGGTGCTACATAATGACTTGGTATAGAAAAATGGATGAAACATGTATTGAACTTTGAGGAAAATGCCTTAAGTCAGAATAGAAATACTACTCTGTCAATAATGAAAACATTATACAATAAACAACAGCCTCAGAAGCAAATATTAAAAAGTCTGGGCCAAAAAGAGAAGGGAGGAAGAGAAAAATGAGGGAGAAAAATACTTATCTTGGGCATGATAATTTAAGATGATTACAGAGAAGAATTTTCCCCCTCTTAAATGCATCAGATTATTCAGACTGGAGGTAGAAGTAGTGAAGAAAATTAAATAATGGTCATGAAAATGAATGCTACCTAAATTAGACAACTGTTCAACATAATCTGAGATGCTTTTAATTAGAAGCCCTGAAGCCTGTCTGTGAGCTTGTCCGTCTCAGAAAGAGGAGATGAGTAAACAAAACGCTGGTTACAGCCAGCAGTCAGATTCCACATCCTCCGACTTTTTTTTTTCATTCTTTTCCAACCAAGGCGTATCTCTGCTCTTCAGCTATCACACAGGTTATATGCAATGTATATATTTATATAATCTGATATTTCACCTCTCACTTTGCAGAGAAATAGCCTTTGTCTGCTATGTAACATAGGTTATTACCAAATTGAGTCAGCCTTTATGTTTGGGGGAGGAGGAGTGAAAAGGGATCTAGTAGAAAGAGTTAAGATTTCAATGAGACATCATATCATACACAAACAAAGGGCAGCAGGTCTGCATGAGACTCTTCCTAGACCTCCACCCCCACCAAAGTACCCTGCAATTAATTTTCATATTATGTCAATATACGTATTTGTGTGTTTATGTGTGTAGCTAGATAGACAAACAGACAATCTTCTCCAACACAGAATGTAAGTCCCTTGAGAGCATGGACAGGTCCACTTTTGTCTTTGTATTTCCAGAGCCCAGCACAGTGAAGTCACACCATAAACACCTCACAAATACTGGGTGACAGATTGATTCGAAGCCTCCCCTCATATTCTGAATGTAGCAGATACTCATTGAAATTAATTTAAATGTTTAGAAAGTCTCCCCTTCCTATGAAGCCACAAAGCTACCAGTTTGTGACCTTATAGTCAGAGAGATTAAGAGCTGGAAGCCCTTCATGTACCAGAGGAGACTGAAGCCAAGAGGTGAAAAGTAAGTTGCCTAGGATCACCCAGGTAGTAAGCTCAGGTCCTCTGGCTCTAAGCACACATTTCCTCCACTGTCCAATCTAAATGCCCCTGTACTTCCACCAGCTGGTCCTAGTTTGACTTACTGTAGCAACATGGGACAAATCAATTTTCTCTACTGGCCCCTTCAATGTTTAAAGACACAGTGACCATAAGGGCAACTAGGTGGTGCTGTGGATAGAGCCCCAGCCCCGGGGTCAGGAGGAGTCTGAGTTCAAATCCAACCTCATATAGTTACTAGCTGTGTGACCCTGGGCAAGTCACTTAACCCCAACTGCCTTCTCCTCCCCTTAAAAAAAAAAAGTGTTCATAGTTGCCAAAAGCTAAATATTCTATTTTTAGAGTAAAAGCAGCATCATTTTGAGCAACCTTATGACACTATGGGCTCCCATTAAGCTTACAAATAATGAAACCTCAGCAATAAATAAGGCTTAGTGCTGTATACATATATAACTAAGTATTTACAGTTTACATATGTATTTATTATAATTAACAATGCATAGTATTTCCTGATTACCATGGTGAAATAGTCATTAATTTATGGAATTATTAATTGATTTGTGACCTATGTAAAGGGAAAATTCTCCTGGGAGAGGACATGGGGTTTTCTGCCCACTCTTGCTTTCTACCAATGAATTCACTGTGCCATGCTTGTTCATGGTAAGAGTGGCGATAAGCAGAATTTAGTCTCCGTCCTAGTGCTCCCAGTTTATGACGAACCATGAAGGGGTCCCTTTGGCTGATGGGAGGTTGGGCAGTAAGTATGCCTGAACTCACTAGATACTCACTGAGAAAGAACATGATGGCAGTAATCAGGGTTATGCTTTGACCTCACCTGAATAAGGCACAGAAGCAAACAGCAAAGTAAGTACAGAGGCAGACGGCATGGGAGACAGGTTGAGGTGGTGGAAGGAAGTAGGCAGTGATGAGGAAGAGAATGGGGGACAGGGAGTCACGTCGGTAACCACAGATGGAACTGGCAGCACTTGGCAGAATGGCCCCTTAGCCATTAGAGGAGTGCTCAAAGGGCAGGAGTTAGGGGTGCCATTTCTATAGGGTTTTGGTGGTGGGAGACAGACTAACCTCTTAGTCGTGCCACCTTAGGCCTAGTTCAATAACGTATTAACATCATCTCAATGCTATTAGCAAAACCTTATGTTCGTCAGCATAACATTTTTTCTGGTCCTACTGCACGTGTCTGTGAAGCTTACAGACCAAGGGTAATTAGCAGGACTAAGGGGCTATTACACTTGGGCTTAGCCAGCTCCCTCTCGTTTAACACACAGTCTCTGGATGTGGCGTTAGTTAATTTATGAGGCAGTCATCAGTGGTTCCAATGCTCCCCTAATTGCAAGTATCTGTTATTGGCATTTAATTTATGGGACAGTCTGTAAGTGACATTTAGGTTCCCTTTTCCAATTTTATGTCCTACAATTGTCATTTTAAAGTAGTTACTTATAAACTTAACTTACTATACTAGCTATGAAGGCACAGAAGGGATAGTCAGGGGGACCAGGACAAGATACGATTTCAATGGACCGGAATAAGACTTAAGAATGCCCAACCCCCACTCATCAGTAGCACGGCTCCCTGCAACCAGCAGTGAAAAGGAGAAGAGCGTAAGCCAGAGGACAAAACAGGGTGGTAACTATTCTAGACCATTTGGATATTCTCCAGCCCCAGCTGGCAGTCTTTTCCTCTACTCAGTTACTTACATTTTACGTGCTCTGTAAATATTTATGGGGTGCCATTAGAACAAAATTCCTACCTAAGGTTCCAGATGAGACAATCCCCTTTAGAATTCACCCAATCTTATAAGCAGTGACATAGAAACAGCA